TCACTGCAATAAGTCTTGAAGGCGAGATTAAAACTCCATAAAAATATTTGCCTCCATTTTGGCCCTTTCAAAAATTATATATTATTGCAAATTTTCACCAATCCTTCAATAAAGTGTAATTGTGGAGAACGCAAAATTTGACAAATTTTTCTATGGACTGCGGAGGAATTTTTCTTTGGTAAAATTTTTGGATAACTTTTTCTCAAATCACCAAAGCTAATGAAGCGGGCAATGCTCTCCCGTGAGTTCCGTAAACATTTAAAGTGTCGCATCCACATAAAAAAAAAACAATTTAATTGAGTTAGGGTCCCTAGGCTAAAAGAGTTTCGCTGAAGCTGCAAAACGAATTCCATCCTTTCCCTTGATTTATCTCAGGATTAAAGAATAAACAGGAGACAATACCTGAATTTAGTATATTTTTTGTGCAGAAGAATTTATCATAATAGTGTTATATCTATGCTTATTGTTTCGTTGTAATTAAAATGGAAGAAATTACTCATTCCATATGATAATACTGAAAAATTATTAAAATTACGCAACATAATTACGAAAAAGCATATAATTTAGGTACAATCATAGATACACTTGTACAGGTAAATTTTACGGTGTAAATGATACTTTATTTTCATCCACAGATTTTCTGTAAATTGGGATTTGCTTCGAAGCATTCGAAGTCACTAATAAAATTTGTGTTCAATTTTTACATTGCTTGAAGATGTTTCAAAGACCCAATCTGTTATTTAGTAATATGTGATTAATAAACTCCTATTCAATTGCAGAGCTTGCTTATTCATTGTTATATTATATATTATTCATTGTTATATGAAATTTTTTGCTTAGGTCAAAAGTCATGTTTCAGTCCTGAAAGTTTAGCTTGTTGCCCTCCGGATTATGCAATGCTATACATTGTGCCACCAGTCCGAAATTTCGACTGAAAATTCGCCTTAAGCAACAAGAGGCCAAAGTTTTTGAAGAAATAAAAAGTTATTCGTTGGTCTTATATAGTTTAGCCATATATTTAGATTAGACACATGTTATCATCTTAAAACTTTTTATTAGGGTCTTTTTAGAATAAATATCCAAATATCCGTCTTTCCAAGAATTAAAATACCCGAAAATATTTTAGGTATGCGTCATAGTTCAAAAATATTGTTTACGTTCCTTCGACGCCCAATTATAGTTCCACTTATTGATGTAACTCAATTAACTAATTCATCACCTATAGACAAATGATCGTTCGTATTATTTGAGCAGATGTTTTACTTCGATCAGTTTTTCCGATATATTTATTCGCACTTTCAGGATACGCGTTTTATTATTTCATTTTTGACTAACTTATAGTTAGGTTCGCACCTTAAGTTTGACCCCAACTTAATTAAATGATTTTTTTTTTGTGAATGCGACTCTATAAATATTTATGGAACTCACGGGGGAGCGTTGCTCCATTGTCTTCTTTTGCAAGACAACCAAAGGAAATAGAGACACGAGAAAAATACGACCTTATTGCATTATTTAACGCGTAGTCCAAAATTACGGATAAATATTCCGGGATAAGTGATCACAGAAAAACATCTACTCATTGAAAATTTTGATGATAAAATATAATACGCACATAAATATAATACGAAACTTAATATTGAAAATGGTCGCTCAAGGTTTATTTTCGAAATATTTTAAATCTCTTGTCCGAGGTAGATCCCATACAACCAATTGAATTTATGATATTTTTCATATGAGAGGCGAAAGACTCAAAATATATACTTGGCTTTACAGAAAATATATTTAGTTCAAATTTTGTTGAAATAACTGATTAAAGGTTACTCGCGAGTTTACTTTTCTTTACTTGCGTGTACTTGATGCGAGGTAAGTTACAAGGAGAATATTAACCCTTTACCGCCTGACATGAGTAATCTGTGCAATATTGTCACGCGCCTACTTACCAAAAAGGATACGTTGTAGTGAGCGAAAAATGTCTTGCACTGATGGCTGCCGCCACGTACGACAACTTTAGAAAATTCTCTGTTGCGTATAAACGTCCTCAGGTTGCTATACTCAAGAGTTTACGTATAATTTAACTTAAAAGTTATGTTAGTGCCATGAGAAAGTTATGTTAGATGCTAGTGAGTGCCACATGAGGTCACGTGGCGGAACCTTTCATGAAGCTCCAGACCGGGGCGACCGGATCCAAGTTTCGGATGCGGATGAGGCTAACTTTTAGGCTTTGCTATAAATGACGCGTACTTAATTGGGTCGACTTACCTACTTGAGATCAATTTGTGATTTTTATAAAGGGATTTCGTTCAAAAACTACATACAGATCATGTCTTACTTTCGAAACGGGATGAATCCAGAAAAACCCGAATGCGGAATTTGACGCGTCAGAAACAGAGGTGCCCAGATCTTATGTTGAAGTCATGAATTACTATAAAATATCTGTATCCAAAGGCTATTTTAAAGAATTTAGATATGTTTGGCAAGGTGTTGGCTGAAGTTAAAAGTTATTACGATAAAAAGCCTCAATCGTTTCAAAATACACACCAAAAAATTGGATGCATAAAGCAGGTCTCGCATCATTGGAATTTAACTATATTTTTCATGAGTGTTAATTAATATAGATTAGAAGAGAGCACAGCTATTCCATAGATAGCAATCAACCGTATGCAATATCATCATTTGTATGGCTAAAAGCCTCACTATTTGTTCGAGTGCTGTAGCGTATTTGGCTGGACTGCATTCAAAGGCAGATGTGGAATGATGAACATCGTAGCTGCTTTATTGTCGACGATGCGCGGCCAGCGCCCAACTACTGAAAGCGTTTCCATTTGTTAAAAGCTCTGCTTTAATAAGAGCCTTCTCGTGAACGGGGATGCCTATGATGCCTTCTATTAACACATTAAGTCTGGACGAGAGCTATTTTTGCGAGTGCCTAATGGTCTACTTGTGTATGAAGGGTCCGCTTTGTAAATTAGAAATCCACGCTGAAAAGCTATTTTCTTTTGACATTTCCTGTGACTTCTATTAACGGGCTTCTCCGTGAAAGGTTAAAAAGACCTTGATGATTGGGCCACCCAAACTTTAGCTTCCCTCTGGAATTTCTTCCAGCAGAAAAACTGTTTGAAGTTCACAAGGGTCTTCTGGTTCTAACATTTCATTCCATGGGGAGATGACGAAATGAACAGAACATTGAACACTTTTGTGTTTAACTGTTCGAATGATAAATATTTAAATCAACTGAATTTCGCAAAATTTATTCTGCAAATCAGAATTGCGTGACAAATAAATCGGATGAAGAATGACGTCAAAATTGTTTTCATCCGATGAACTTATTTTCATTCAAATATTTTGTCATGGTTCTCGCTTAAAATCTTTCACTTCTGATGAAAATATTTTCATAATAAATTTTTTGCTGTCGTTCTAAGATTCGGCAGCTTAATGAACCTCGTCGCCAATAACGCAGCGCTAAAAATTCTCTAGTTAGAAACCAAAAACTTTCTAGCATCCTCTTGAAATTAATGAAAAAGAAAGCGAAAGAAATATTCATAATGTTTTAGTTAAGATTTAAAAATTAAAGGTATACAACAGATGGCACAGGTTGTCGAAGTTATTTAGGGCGATGGGGAGTGGCTTTGTCTAGAGTGTTACTAAAGTTTTGTGACTGAAAATTCTTCTTTTTGATTTCTTCATTAGCTAAAAAATTTTGAGGAGCAATATTTTTTTCAAAACATTTTGGTTGACAAGCACCTCCTACGTTTGTATGGGTAAAACCTCGGCTGAATAATATTTTCTTCTGTTGTTTAGATATTAGCCATTAGGTACAAAATATTGAATAGTATATCAGATGAATCCTCGTAGAAACTCATGAAAATATAGTGTCATAGTGGTGGTTTTTACCCGCCAAAGATTGAACTCCAAGTTCTTTTATTTTCTTTAGAAATTTCAAAACTTTATAAACTTTTCAAACCTTTTTCTTTATAATTTCAAGCCAAATACAAGTTCACATTTCTCAGTTGACGTCGAAGACATCCAGTGATCATTTAATTGAAAAATGACATATATCAGCAGAAGACATTTCAGCTAAAATTATTTAAGAAACAACGCATTATTCTTGTACGAGTGAATCATAGATATTTGATTGCTTGCAGGTGCAATCTCCGTGCATCGAATAAACGCGATTTTTACGGAACTGATCTGGAAAACAAACACTCAGTCAAATTGTTCCCGTCCTTTACTATGGCATCTCTGGGATCAAATCCCGAGATCGAATCTATCAAAACAAGGGGAGCTCTAGCTGAAAGCAAGAGAATTAGATTCCAATCCGAAGATATTTTATCGATGCTTGTTTAGCGACAAGCAATTTCTAGGACGGACTTTTTTGTGATGGTTTATTCCTCGAGAGGAAAATTTTTAGCGGATTTGAGTGTTAAATTAAGTACGATTTTTAATAGAATAGAGAATGTAGTTTGAAAATTCTTATCTAAGCTGATGCCTTTGGTCTGAACATTCGTAAAACATTGTAAACTTGAACGATAGATAGCGCAAAAGTAATGTAAAACTATTCAGCAGCTCCTAGAAATTAAAAAAATTAACTCTCATTATTTTCTGCTGACTAAGCAACGGCTTTTAGGTTTGATGCCTTAAGCTAAAGCTTGCAAGTATTCAGGCTTCTGCTTAAACCGAAATCCCTATAAATTAAACTTGCTCAAAAGTTAGGATGAAATAAATCTCAGTCTTTTGGGCAACTTTGGTCGAAAATTTAACGCAAGATAAAGGAAATGGAAAAGAAGGGCTATTATGTATAGCACGATGTCATGGATTTACACTTACAAGGATGCTTCGTTGAAAATTTTGTTGAATGTATCCCGATACATGTTTCCGATATAGCATAATTTATTTCGAGAACATTCCATGAAATTAGCAATTAATTGTGAGCTATCAAATTGAATAATATTCAGAAACTAACTCGTATATTATTATGGACTAAAAATCAGATGCAAACTCACCGACATCGAGTGAAGGATTCTCAGCCACGATGTTTTTCACCGCTGAGTAGTCGTAGTGATGAATATCCACCCCATCGTCATCGATATCCTCAGTTTCGTTACGAGTTTTGTCTGTAATAAAGTTGGCTGTATTTCCGGGTGATGTTTCAGACACTGATGCAGAGCGACGAGCAAATGAAGACTTTGCATTTATCGATGGAAAGTCATTAGAAATATCAAGGCGCTGGTCTGGCGCCGAGTCACCTTGTTCGACACGTGGTAAAATTTTATCCCATGATAGTCTATAATTTCTCGTCACCGTAGGAATAAAATAGTTACCTCCGTAAATATTATGATATAGAGTGGGTAACTCAGAAACGTTCATGTCCACGCGCGGATTTTCTACGAAACTTCGACTCCAGTCAGATTTATTGCCACTCTTTGAGAAAAATGTTTTCCATTCATCACTGCCGTAATGTTTATTTGATGAGAAGGCAAACTGAAGTTGTATTACAAATATTACAGCTAACACAAAGACTTTCAGAGGAAACATTGCTTAACAGAGAAAATTTGCCTTAGGTTCACAAATCACGTCACCTTTTTCAAAGTTCAACAAATGTGAACTCTGTGAAGTTGTTTCTTTTGACCTTGTGAGGCCCGTGGTGTAACTGTTTCATTAAAATTTTTAGAATTACTAAATGAATCCATTAGTTCTCATTTCGATTTGTGGATTCAAATATTTCGACTAAAAATTTTCACACAAAGTAAAGATGAATTTCGTCTATTTGTTTTTGTGTTATTTTTTGCGATTTTGTTAAATTACTTTTTTAGTTTTCAAATACCTGCAATGAAAAGTTAGTGTTATTTTACAACGAAAATAAAGAAGAGAACTTTACACAGTTTCATTCATGCATTAGTTATGATATTGAACCGTTTATTAATTCAATTTATGAGTTATGTTTAATCATAAACAAAAATTATGGAAGTAGTAAAAAAAATAACCTAAATAAAGCAATCATCTATTATTCAATTGCCGCCAGAAAATATAGACCGCATCTCAGCAGTATTCATCTACGTAAATGTTTTATCGATGTAGCAATTTTCCGTAACCTTTGATGGATTCGAATAAATTCTAACTATTGAGAACCAAATACATCGTGAAATTGTATCCCGCTGAGAGCGGCGTGCAAATTTTGCAATATATTGTACAACGTACACAATACAACATCGCAGAAAACATCTGCACTATTAACATTTCATTCGATCTTGTCTCGATGTCTTTCTTTTCTTGAGTCCGGGCAAATAGATATTCATTTATGTGGGTCTATCGCGTGTGGGGTCCTTGTGGGAGTGTCGACACAAATATTAAGCAGAAAATAATGTGATAAGATATATGGTAATCAGTGCTACTCTGCACCTTATGATCGAGCAAGAGCCATGGGACAGTGCGTAGGTTCTGCCTATTCTGCAGATAATGAACGAGGCTCTGTCTTCTCATCTTCCCGGATTTCTATTCCGCGTAATTCAGGAAGTGTGCATTTTCCTCACCCTGCATAAACACGTCCATATATTTTTTCCACGCCTGCCAGGCTCTTGTCTTAACTCCTCTAGAATTCTCCAGCTTCTACCTAGTTCGAGCTGCCGTGGTCAGCGTTAAAGATCTTGGTATAAAGCCGGTACGATTCCGTTCTTTTAAGCCTGGTTGGCCGGGGCATCGTCTGGGCCAATACAGAGAAGATAAAGTGTTATTGGTGCTCCGAAAGGTGGGAATTATTTGCTGCATATTATACCTTGCCGGTAATCTTTATTGAACGACCAAAGCTTCCGATATTTGCGACGTTGCACTTGCTGCAATATTGGCAGAGCGAGAAAATAACCAAAAATAATTATATTACTAGGCTTGGAGGTCCAGGATAAAATATGATTGTTATACCATTGGCTAAGTTATTTGATGCACCGTCGGCTGAAAATGGGCGAAGACAATTCGGGAACGGAAGATCTCTATTTAAAATAATACGTATCTTAGCTGGACATGTCTAATTTCGTACAGCGATAGCCACAGAGGAATTTAGTTTATTGCAACGGTTCAAAATAAAGCAGAAATAGTACCTACATCTTAATAGCGAGAATAATTTTCCTTTTTGTGGCATTCTTGCGTTTATTTAGAATAGGAAAGATTTAACTTAACAATCAATCACATAGCACAGTTAAAGGCGTCAGGCAGTTATTAAGAAATGGAAAAAAATTTTTTAGATCATTCATAATATTTATGAGGACACTTATTATGAAAGGAAAATGTAATTACGAGTTTTTAAATAAAAGTAATTTAACTAAAATTTTAGAGAAGAATAGGCGTAAATTTAAACAGCGTTGAAAAAAATGCTCCCGAAGACTGCTACAATTATTTTTGTATCCACTTAGATGATGCAAAGGCTCAACTCAGAAAAGATAACAAGATAATGCAGAGGCTGAAGCTAGACATTTAAAATATATATTTATATTATTGATTAACTGGTATATGCATCCCCTGAGTGGTACATCCACTAACGATTGAAAGGAGGAAGATAGGAAGACCAGATGATATACGACACTTCTAAGTAGTCAATATCAACGGGAGTATTGAAATTAGAAATTAATACAACATTACATGGGTTTAAATAGAAATTAAAATAATACGAAAAGATTCTTGGTTTATTATTTTATTACATTTAAAATGATTACGGGAAATAACTAGTTTTGTTTTTCAAATTATTTTTGTATAATCATGTTTTATTTTGTCATTGAGGTCACAGACCAGAGTATGTTTACCAAAAAATTTTTTTAGTGCTTGTGTTTTATTATTCTGGCTTAAAAATCTAATACTGAATGTTAAAAATTTAAAGTTATTAAATTGACCGAAATCTCGTACGTCGTAGATTCACTTGGTGTGTGGTTCCTTTCTTGACTAAGACAGGGACATTTTTTTTTCAAACATTTTCATCACATCACCTGTTCCACGTGTACCTCGGCAACTCACTAGAAGCTCAGTGGCGTCAGGAACAAGAAATATCTTAAAATTATTCCACGATTTTGGTCGCCTATTTGATGACGAGGAAATTTCCTTGTCAAAATTTCGGTGTCACGAGCGCTCATCAGCACCTAATTTCTGTGAGAGGAACGGTTCCTCAGACCCTAGAGCCCTTTGGGGAAGAACCTGTGGAAGAAAGTGGAGTAGACAAAGCCTTCATCATAAAATGCGACCTCCTGCATCAATTTGCATGTCTAGCACAAGGCTGTTCTTCTCGGCTCTTTGAAATTCCCATGCATCTGGGCCAGAGGGAGCGTTGCTGTCGGTACACTTTACGGTTTGACGATGATTTTCGAAAATATTAATGCATAAAAACGAATTCAAATATCACATGCATAACGTAGAGTATACACGATTAGATTAACGAATGATCAGTAATCACAATTAAACAAAGAAAAACTTTATCCATATATTTTTAAGTCGTCAGTTGTGCTCGCATGCGTGTTAATTTGCCTCTGACCGGGAAAAAAACGAAAATAACCACTTCCTAGTCAATTGCTCGATCATGAAAATTAATGCAACAATAAAATGTGACAGCAACGGACAGCTATGCCTGCCCTCCGTGTTATTACTCCATCATGATCAGGCTAATACGAGAATATGATTCAATAATGGTTTAACAGTCATATATATCGAGGCCACAATAGGCTCCAGTCAGACGGTTTAAAATTAAATTAACTTGCTGTCATCTTACTACATTCATGTGATATAAATTATTATCGTTTTGCCCTCTTTAGTGCCAAATCAACAAATAGTACAATAGTTATAGGCTTTCAATGTTACTTCGATCAGTGGTCGATATTAGAATTAATTTCCTCTGCATCTGTCGGTCTATAGAGACGCAGCTGTGGTGTGGGCAGAGAATAATTCTTGATGTATCCAACTATTGATGAAGCTTCAGAGAGAAAATACATAGGAAATATTAATACAATTGATGCAGCTCACCGTATTCTATTTGAAAGTGAAGGAGATATCGGCTAGAATAAAGAAAAATATTTTACCTCGAACCAATTTCAGTTCAAGTAGATTAAGCGCTTTCCATGAAAATTCATCCAGCAACTCGTTGAAATAGAGTTGTTCGAGCTTCTGTTAAGTGCATCAAAAGAACCTTCTGGAATGAAATACAATTTCACTCGGTTTAAACTAAGGGAGATGCTCTAACCTGCCGGCACGAATAATGTTTGGAGTATTCGATATATAAAGGACACTGAATAGATGGAATAAATAAAAGAAATCCAAACTCCACTCAAAACTTTGACGTGGTATATCGTTATGCCGCTAGGGAGAGGAAAACTGAACGATGCTGTGAAGACTTGAACTTTCTGACTTACTGCTCAGTCCATTCGCGACCTCAATTACTAATTCAGTATTTGAATTCTTTATGGACTCTCAGTGAGTACACCCGAGTATTTCAGAGCAAATGGTTCGAAAAAGAGCGAGGGATTCGGGATCACCTGGGGTTTAGTCTGTTTAACATTCAGGCGCTCACGACAGCCAGGGTAAGAAAGTTCCAATGGGATATTGCCTTGACTTTGGCAGGTAGCATTCGGCTATCGGAGGCTCGTGCGGCTAAGTGTTCTGGGTGATATCCTGGCCTTTAACGCGCATCGAAAATCTAAACTCCACAAAAAATTCTCCGTAAGCCTTGAGCTTGCTTTGCTGCCTCGAAATGATCGCACCGCAGTGGAGAAATGCCAAATAAAATATCGCGATGGTCGTTGTGGGCTAAAATGTGAGCTGGTCCTCTGACCGAGCTATGCAGGATGGTCACCTGATGACGCAGTCAAATCAATAGTGATACACCAAAGGCCGCGGCACTCGAGACCTCGAGAAGAAGAGTCGTGCTATTGCAATGCTTCAAAGCCCACTGCATGGTAAGAATTGATAGCTTTTAAACGCACACCGCAGATATTGCTAAGGGTAAAAATTTCTGATGTCCTCGAATATGAAAACAAAATTGCTTAAGAATACTGGAAGCTTTATTATTTCTATTTACATCATTAGTCTGTAAGCCTCAACGGATGCATTTATGCATTTCGCCGCAGTACCAATTGAATTGCGCCAGAAAATTTATTTGTGCTACCTGGCGAAATACCGAGCAGTCGAAGACTGCAAGCAGGTCAATGCATGTCAATTATGCGGTAATATTTTATATTCTATGTACCTCAATTTACATTAGAAGCGAGGATGGCTTTAGTACTCGCTTGAGAATTTAATAAACATCCGATATGGCAATAAGTAGAAAATTAAAGCAAAATTCCAGTAAACAATGCTGAATTTAGTATTTTAACCTCTTTTGTTTGTTTTGTGGTTTGCGTTGTATCAATGGGAAAGTCGTACGAACTGATTTCGCCTCTAAGAACTTTCAGCTACTTCACGACGAGACAGAACTGCCATTAACGGAATATTGACACGTGCACCGGCAGTGTTTTAAACTTAAGCAATACCTGCGAGAGACGTGGCAAGAAAATGAACTGGAAAAGAAACAAGAATTTATAAGGAAACAACAATTTTTGATGTATCGCGAGCAGGAAGAGGCAATGACGATTTTTCTGCGTATTAAAGGAAGTTCTTAAAACGTCCATTTAAGAAATTTCTTGCCTCAAAGAACGTCTCGGCTGTAAGGATTGGTGCCATGATGACATTGCCATGGTTCACATGAGTCATAAATGAAAATAGATAGATTTAAAGTTCATAATTTGACCATTAATTTATTTGAAAATTATTTAGTCATCAAACAAAATTAGCCCGAAATTTTATAGCAT